CTTGGCGCCGACTGTTGATATCAAATCTTTTATAGGTATAAAATTATATGTGAACATATATGATTACAATGCTTCCATGCATTCACATATGAAAATATATATGATCATAAACATATGAAACCAGATATGATGACATCTAATAACATATGTTCATATATAAAATTATATGTGAATATATATGATCACAATACCTGTATACAATCACATATAAAATTATATATGATCGTACATGAACTTATATATGACCATGTATCGAATCATATATAATTATATGTGAACATGTATCAAATCATATATGATTGGATACAATTATATATAAGTTATATATGTATAGTTATGTGTTTATGTATGGTTATATAAAAAAAATTTTTACTTGGGCAGAAACACGTATAATAAAGATTTTTCAGCTGTATATCAGTAATTATGAACCGTATATAAATCATTAAAATACCAAAATGTAGGAAATTTAATAATCTTTCATTTTGATGATAACTATTTTTGGCATAGAAGTAGCCGTATAAAGATATTTCCGATATATTAACGAGGAAACATTCTCATTTTCAAATTATTTACAAGTCAAAATGCCTTTAAAAAATGACATCTCCGGAACCATTGATCGTACGACATTCAATAAAATCCCATTTTGTAGGTAATTTATAAATATCTTTTCGATTTTGTTATATTCAAAAATTTAGTTGTCAAAGGGCAAATGAGAGTATGGCGTGGTTGTTATTACGCAAATCCAATAAAAAATTGATATATTTTCTCAATATCAATTTATTCAAAATTTATAACGTTTCGGTTCATTTTGAACCTTCCTCAGCTAATACGAATATTCATTCAATCATCAATTCAACATAAAAGTTAATCCTTGTCAGATATGTCACATCACATTGCTTGATGAGATGTTCCAATTCTAAAAATATTATTTATGTCATTTATCATAACAAAATTGAAAACAATCTAAAGTAACATACCTCACAAGATACAAAAACAAAAACCGTTCATTTTAGGTGTTAATAATAATAAGATATTGAAAACGAAACTTATGGCACATTCGATACATATGCACTGACACGGTTCTAGTGCTGCCCTGACACGGTGCTGCCCTGATAGGGTGCTGCCCTGACACGGAGCGAATGCAAAACTACACTAATTAATAATTCAATTAATAATTTAATTTTTAATTAATAATAATAATAATTTAATTTTTTTGTTTTTAATTAATTTCCGGCCTTTCTTCTTTTATTAAACATAACATATCTTCATCATCACTACTACTACTTGTTTCTAATAATTTATCTATAATAAATAATAGTCTTTCTTTATCCATTTTGTAATTTTTTGCTGCCTAACTAGTTTTATTTGTCCGTACACCAAACTGCACTGACAAAAATGTCAGTGCAATATTTCTTGCACTCGTTCGGTTCATTCGGTTCGTCCGAATACAAATTCAGCACTACACTAGGTCAGTTTTCATTTGCCGAATATGATAACTTAAGCGCACTGATACGGTGCGCACATTCCGAATGCGTGGCACCATAAAAGTTCGCACTCGGTGCGCACTGGTGCGCACTAGTGCAGTCTGTCGAATTCGCCATTAGTCATACACATTCTCATACGAAAACTTACATCTTAACAATGTGGCAGAAAGTCGACTAATAATAAAATAATATCTTAACTCAGATCTGTGATAGAAAGTCAACTAATAATAACAAAATCGTTCTTGTCCGACAGTTATCCAACACGCAAAACAATAAAGCAACACATTTAAAATAAATCAAATTAAAAATCAGAATAAATTAGCTCTAGTAAAATTATAAATCGAAGAATTTCGAGCACAACTGTCAATAAAGTCATGTCTATTGTAACTACCTGATTTTTATACTCGGACTAGCTCGCCGGGAATGCGCGTTGTATAAAAAAGGTTCGGCGGGAGGAGTATTCGCGTCGGAGCGGTACGGCGGAAAAGATACGTGAAGTTTCGGAAATCGTAAAAGAAAAGTACTGCGACGAAAGTAATAATTAGACTACAAACATTGTTTATTACAACAACTAGACAGTGAAAATATTATAATAATAGAAAGAAATATAACATATAAAAATATATAATTATGATAATAGAGAAAATGTAATACATAGAAATATATAATTCTAGCGAACGGACGCGACTTATGACGATATAAGCGAAGAAATAAACGAACGCGAATAACACAACAAAATCTGTACAGCTATATAAACGAGCGCGGATAACGAACAATGTATATGTATATACAGTCAAAGAAAACGGACGCGGACAATGTAACGTACTTAAATCTAAACGGCGCGGATATCTACAGGCGGTCGCGGATTTACTCGGCGGTGAGTTGCAACGCGGCGGAACGCGGGTATACGCCAGCAAGCGTTGTCTCGCGGCGCGACGCGTAATTCGGAAGTTCTAAGCGGAAAGGAAGCAAAGTTGGTACTTGACGGCCGGGAACGCCCGACAGAGGCAGGGAGCGCCCTACCCCTTTTCTAATGTCAAGTACCAGGACGGGAAATTCGGGATGCGGAAAAGAAGGTACGGAAGGTGGGATCGAGTGCTAATAACGACTGTCCGGCGGCCGGGAACGCCCGGCAGAGGCGGGGTACACCCCACCCCTCAGGTTCGTCGGACGGGCGCGTTAATTAGCTCGCGCGCTCAAGATGCCTATTCTGGACGGCTCGTTCGGCGGCCGGGAGCGCCCGGCAGAGGCAGGGTACACCCTACCCCTCAGGTTCGTCGACGAGCGAGTCATCAGTCACTGGAACGGTATCGAGAGCTTAGGATCTGGTGAGCGGATCGGATATCTTGGGAAACGGCGGAGACAAAATGCCACGCGCGGCCAGGGATGCCATTCCATAGACGGTTTACGACATCGCTACTAATGCCATCGGTTGGCCGCCTGGCACATCAGTTTGCACTCACACAAACAAAGCTCGTGTACGTGTGACTTTGGAGCAGGAGCGCGCCGACAATCGCGCTGTCCTTGTCTCTCTAACCGTTCGTCCTTGTTTGCCTTCGGCGCGCTGAGAGCGAACGAGACAGCGAGAGAATCTAAGAGAGAGAGAGATAATCCTTCTCGCCGACTCGCTGTTGCGTCATTCATACGCTGTTGCCGTAATTTCCGAATCAAGCGGCAAAGGACCGAAATGTTTTTTCGAGCGATCGGCGTATATCTATTATATCAAGAAGCATAGAGAACATTATATATATATATATATATATATATATATATAATGTTCTCTATGCTTCTTGATATAATAGATATACGCCGATCGCTCGAAAAAACATTTCGGTCCTTTGCCGCTTGATTCGGAAATTACGGCAACAGCGTATGAATGACGCAACAGCGAGTCGGCGAGAAGGATTATCTCTCTCTCTCTTAGATTCTCTCGCTGTCTCGTTCGCTCTCAGCGCGCCGAAGGCAAACAAGGACGAACGGTTAGAGAGACAAGGACAGCGCGATTGTCGGCGCGCTCCTGCTCCAAAGTCACACGTACACGAGCTTTGTTTGTGTGAGTGCAAACTGATGTGCCAGGCGGCCAACCGATGGCATTAGTAGCGATGTCGTAAACCGTCTATGGAATGGCATCCCTGCGCGCGGCTCGTTATCGCGGTATCTTATACCAGGCCGCCAGTCTCGCTCGTAATGGTTCGGTCGGTCGCGGTATTTTCCGTCGATCGGCTTCTCGTGGGAGAAGATTTCCGATCGGCGGTCCCCGACGACGGTCGGCCCTTTCCGGCGAGATTGGCGGTTATACCGGCGGCTGCTGTACCTGCGAATTATTTTTGGTTTAAATTAAAAATATACTTGAGCGCACCGCGCCCTCATCGTCGCTAGTGACCACTGATCATTGCGACGGCAACCGGCTAGATGTTTGTGCCGGGTACGATGCCTATTTTTAGGGGGCATCGTTACACTATAAAAAATAAAATTAAAAATACATCAAATACTGACACCGCTTTTAAATTCAACAGTTATTTATGTTTGATTTCGTTTAACATTACTTTATAATTTTGGTGTGATCCATCAGCGTCGTTTTGTTTATTCAAACCATTGTCCTGCAGATCTATATGAATGTATTCGGACACAAGACGTCTGTTCAAGAATCGTTCAGAGTCAAGAATTTTAATCTCATCCCAATTAAAATCATGATTACATTTTAATCTGTGTTCAGTGATTACCGAATGCGTATCAGTCTTATGATTAATATGGTTCTTATGCTCAGCGATTCTCATTTTTAGTCTCCGTCCCGTTTGTCCAACGTATGTCGCATCGCAAGAATTACATGATATTTTATAAATCACGTTTTTATTTTGTTCTTTAAGCAATATATCTTTTTGTGCTCTAATAAATTTATCTAATTTATTAATATTTTTGAAGGCTAATTTTGCTATATGCGTTTTGCACGTAGATGCAGCCGAGATATTCGCGAAGGACAAATTTACGTAACGTTCGAAAATAAGAGGTCCCCTAAAAAAATTTATCTCGAGAATTATTGGTCGTACGAAGTACAACCATTAGAGAATTATGTAGAGAATTTTATTATCTTTCTTTTATTATGGACCTACTTTGGCCGTAAAATTGATAGGAAAGAAGATAACCGCGAAAAACCGAAATTTCAACCCTTCTACGCTCGATAAAGAACTTAGCGCACAAGCTAACGTTAGGAATTTTTCAGACATCATTTCTCTCGCCTAAATGAAGGTGTTTAGCAATTTATAGAGAGGTTGGAATTTTTGTTTATACGTCCTTTTTTGTTTTAAAGTGACTGGACTAATTATTGAAAAATTAAAAAATCCTATTTTTTCACACAAGAAATATAATATTAATTAAGAAATAGAAATAATCGATAATGATCGCCCGGTATTTCTAGTTAATTTTTTCTCTAAAAGAAAAGGAATTGGATCTTAGTTTTAATAAAGTTTAATTAAATTAGAACGAACGACTTTGGATGCAGTTTGCGGCGAGTTGTACCTGGAACGCTCGGTGAGATATGCAGGTCTTGCAGTAGGCTGCGACAATGTTGACGCAGAAAAAGGGCACCCAGCATACCAGGAATACGCCCATGATTACACCAACGGTGATCGCGGCCTTGTGGTCGGACACATGATAAGGGCTGGTTGGCTTCGTTTTCGTCTGCGGCTTCGGTGGCTTGCAACGACTGCTCTTCGAGCGAAAACTCTTGGCCATGGAGGTGTCCGGTAGCTTTGTCACCGCTCGAATACTTTTCACATGTTTCTGCGCGTAGCAATACAGTCTAAAAAAGGAAGATCTCCTTAATGCATGGAATAAAGTTTTTTTTATTTTTTATTATTGCACGGAAAGAATTTTTCGAAAAGTTAAAGTTTAACAATTAATAAGATAAAATAGAACTTCCTAGTATTAAAAATTAAAGAAAAGGAAATAAGGAAGGCGTGAAATTCAGCGCGGTATTTAGTGCATTAAAATGTTATTTAAAAAAAAACACTTTAATTATTCACCTCATTAGCAAAGTATAACATGCATCTGTATATGCGTTTCGACTTATTTTCAAGTTATTATTAGGAGAGAAAAAAAATATAAAATATAGTTTAAATATCTAGATTGATACAGATTTGAAAATAACTTTGTTGGATCAAAATAATTGTGTAGGAAACTCCAGTATGATAGATGACTCGGTTAAAATCTTAATATTTTAACAACTAGTTTAAACGTATATAATTTTGATAATCCAACAAAATTTATTTTTAGATTCGCGTGTTCAGCGAAATTTTTGGTAAGTGTCTAGATCAGGGAACCCCCTCCAATGACTTTGACATATGTTTTCAAGGTCATGATCCTGAGTAACCGGTCAACAGATTTTAGCCATCGCTCGTCCTTCGTTAAAAAGTTATTAACAATCATAATCTTAAAATGAATGTATTATTTCTGCTATACATGATATTTAGTACTATTCTACATTTCTTCCCTGTTCAGAAACGTTAAACTTTCAACGCGAAGTAACTTTCACCCCCTCCGCCCCTTGCCAAGGAGCACACGACTTCCATGTACTATTGCTATGATAGTATTGTTGAGGGAGACCTCTAGCGACGGAGCGAGTGCGGGAGGGGGGCGGGCCATAGGTCGGCCCACTTGCACCCCCCCCCCCCCCCC